TTAAATTAAGGTATTTAATATAATTAAAACGTTATTTTAAAAATTTTTATAGTTTTTTTACGATATTTTTTGCCATAATTTTGGTTAACATCATACCAGGCAAATATATAGTAAATGCCAATAAACTATAAACCAATAAATATTAAAAATCGAAAGGTAACTTGAATTCTCCAGTATTTGAATTTACTTGTACTTGAATTTACCTACATGAAAAAATCATCATAATTATATTACTTAAACCTGAATTTACCTACATGAAAAAATCATCATAATTATATTATTAAAAAAATATACCTACTTATTTACGAATTTTTTTAACATACTACTCTGACAATATTGGTAAGTTTAAAACTCTACGCCACTGGCGAGCATATTATGGACACTATTTACAACGTTGCCAGCCAGTCCTAAGAGATCTGTCTTTCTCTCTTCCACTCACTAACAATTTTAAAACAATAACAGTCCGCAATTGTATGGGATTTATGAATGAAACATTTTGTCTCTATGTTGTAATGTCTTTGGTAGGAGCTTAATATAGTAAAATGAAACTTTTAACAAAATGAAATATTTAATCTAACTTATGTGAGCCAATTTTTTACTTAAATGATTTGCATTATTTGTCAGTAGAGAAGTATTAATAAATTCCATATTAGAATCAATAATATTCGCCCACTTTTGAATGTAAGTTCGGCTCAACAAACGCTGCCGCTTATCTTTGTTCGGGCAAATTCAAACTAAATAATAATTCGTCACGTAGAACTGCTAATCATGAAATTCGAGACTATCTACTATGCGGGCGTGATATTCACGGTCATTGATCATTAGCTATTACAAAATAAACATTCTGACACTAGATTTAGAATGAAATACCTGTCAAATATATAAGAGGCAAGTGTTTCAGAATTTTCTATCACTCTCAAAAGTGAGAATGTTTTCCTTCTATTATTATAGGTGGTGTGGAAAGAACGAAAAACTACACGCTAATTTTACTTCCTAAGTGTTCTATTTTCCTTTTGATACAATGCAATTCCTGTTGTGGTATTAGCCAAAGGAGTAGTTGTTTTTAGGAGGGAAATGGTCGCTCGACGTTTCTGTGATATGGTCTTTGAGTTTTTATCTTTTTCCTTTGTTTTTATTTTAAAATTGGTCACATTTGAGACTCCCTTGAATAATTTTGTTTTTTCGTCGACAAGATAGATTCACAGTCTGTTTTGATGGTACCTACTTGATACGACACTTATATTGTGTTAGATGTTCTGTGAAAAATATTGCACATATTTATATTTAGAGATCTAACCAAGATGTTTTTTCAACAATATGGGTATGTTATGTTGGGAATGGGGTGTTAATACACTGCGACGTAAAAGATCTATTGTGCCCCCTTCTGTAGCACTTATGGCGGATCTTCAAGGTGTCTGGCAAGAAAATCATGAAAATTGTCCGGTTACTGGGGAAACTTCTTTTGATAGTCCTCCAAGTAACCTATATAAAACTCAGCTTTTATACTATAACGTAAGTGTAAGTACAATTTTTTAGAGTTTGGGGGTACCCGGCAGGGGGTTGAAACCATACCAAGTGTCCGGCAATAGATGATATCATTTTAAATACCAAAAAAATGAGCTTTATACTTTAATGTATTTGGGTGCTATTTTTTACACCTTTATTATCTGTTACCTGCCAAAGTAACCACTACCCAAACTACATGGTCGCTCATCGTTCTTACCTGTGTTGGTGACGTGCGCAGACAAATTTTCAGCTTCTATGAAATAATGGGCGTCTGGCCATTGCGGGCTCTTGGACTATAAGTTTACTTAAAATTTAAAAATGTTTGCATATTAAATGTTCGCCCACATTTCAGCTGCTGTCTGAAAATTCAGAAAAGCAATGAGCTGAGGTTCATGTATCGAAGATAACCTCCGAGGAATTACTACTAGAGGGAGCGTGAAGCGAGTTTGTAGGCGATTGTTGTGTTAGCAACATCTGTGGAGGAAGTGAGGAAGCGGGCACAAGGGGGAAGGTAAACATCCTTCTTGTTCAGTGGCGTATAATTTCTCTGTAAGAACACACATTATCCAAACTTTTTAATTGTAAAAAAAATAAAAAAATAGCTAATTTTACTATTTTTAATATGTATACCGTATTATATGTGTCTGATGCAGGCAATGAAACAAAATCACTATAAAGCTCTAATTTTTTCAATTAAAGAATAAAACCTCAAAATCAATTTTATTATAAATAAATACAGGAGTGACTAGTTTCGGCGACACAGGGACATCTTCAAGCCTGTAATACAATAATCCTTAATTATTATAATAGGTTGGTCACTTACAATTAAAATTAAATAGTATAAACCACAAAAATGGATCCATATTGTAGCGTTACAGCATTGTAGAATTAAAGCTGTGAAAATAAAAGAGCAGTGTAAAAGTAACTAAAAATAAGAAAAACTGGGTACGAAATGTACAAGAGAAGAGGTGAGGATGAGCAATTGCGAATGCATTTAATTGCTCGGGATAACAAATAATGCTGATAATGTAAAGAGTGGTATAGTCCCCGTCAAAGAAGGTCCGGATATGTGAAAGAGGACGGCGTTTTCTCTGTAAATCTGGAGAATTTAAGGATGGAGGGAAGACAAATCTTGCTGGCTCAGGTGTAGATGGCTAGAAAAAGGAGCGTGTAGATGAGAGCTTCAGTAAATATCGTCCCGTTCGTCTAATTTTTTATTAGCACTCACTGTTTCGGCTTTATCTTCGAAATTCATTTTCAAAAGGAAATAAAAGTAATCACTCATGCAAGCAAATAATGAAACAACATGAATTCATTTTATTTAATAAGCTAATTAAACATTTGTTTCAATGAAAATAACATATATGTGAATATAAAAAAAAATAGAAATAGATAAGATTAATATCAAAATCAATTTGAAAATACAACAAACAGAGATAAAATGAAATAAATTAATAAAAGTACAAATAAAAAGTTAATAACATCTAAAAGTAACACATTTTAAGTAGATAAATGTTTAAAGGGTTGATTTCTGAACATAACTAATCTGAAGTTTTCCCCCTTTGTAATATTATGAGGGTTTTTGTAGTTGAAATGAAAATTATATTTTATTTTGGTCCTAATAAAAATTTAAACATAGGTTATCAAAGAGTAAAGTACATATATAGAACTTCATAATCTTAAAACGTTATCAAAAATTATTAACAATTACAACACAACACTTATTGAAATTTATTTTTTTAAATTCTGACTGACCTAAAGTGTAGGTATCTACCAGTGGCGGTTGGCCCGTAAGGGCACTTGGGCACGTGCCCTGTATAATAAACAAAAAAAAATAACTTACATATTTTATATTTTCCACAATGCCTATTATTATTTTATCTAAGATTCAGCGCAAACCGCGTTGGCACAACACTGGACGACCGGGCGTTGAGCGACGTTCCGAGAATTCCGAAATTAAGTGGAAGATGGGCACAGTAAATGTGTGCCTCTGTTGTTTTCTCTCTCATTATGATGCGAAAAACAAGGACAACGACAATATCGCTTAGCAAGAAACACATGAGATGGATTATACATTATAAGCGGGGCGCTGTCCTTATCGTGACGTGCTGTACCCATGGCACAGATTACCTAGACCAGATACGAATGTACGAAGCGGCATCTTTACCGGCTTAAGGTGCGCGTTTGTTGGACCATGATAATAATTTATTTATTGTGATTACGAAAAAACGTTAGATGGACCATTGAAATAGTTAAGAAATAAAACTAAAAAGAAAAATAACTTTTTTTTTATAAAGCAGTCAAAAATATGGTGAAAAAAAATCAATAATATTTATAAATGGGACAAAATTTTAATTTTTCTTCTGGTTTTGTCTGACTTTTCGAGGATTTCAAATCTCTGTTTGCATATTTAAGAGTATAAAAAACTCTGAGTCTTATAAATATTTTAATGTTGTACATTTTCGCAAATTGTTGGCAAGGATGACCAAATTCTATTTTGCTCATCTCAAAAAGATATGCGTTGGAAATTCCTGGCTTAGTAGACAAACTATCAAATAGAGATATAAATATTTTTTCTAATTTGAAAATATAAAAGAGAAAATTTTCGCTGGGAGATTTTAAATTGCCAAACACCTTTTCTTCAGAGTCGTATGCTTTAAAATGCGTTAACAAGTTAGAATTGTTAAGTAAATTGCATTCTTCTGAGAAATTTACGAAAATTTCGCTAAAGTGGATATGTAATGATTTTTTGATTAAATAGCCACATACATAGTTAAATGCATTTTGAGTGGTCACATTTAGCTCCCTGCAGTCACATTCAGAAATCGTTATTGCCCCAACTGATTGTACATGAGGTTCGGTTTCCGTTTTATGATAATTATTTGAAACACGGTTTAGTTCTGTAAGTAAAATGTCATGCCATGTTATCCATCGAAAAAAAACTTATTCGGTCCATTTCAAATTTTAATAATCTGGTCATCAATCACTTAGCTAGCCAAAAATCCAGAAGAATGGACTTCAACTATAAGAAATAGTATACAACTGCAGCGGTACCTAGCAGTTAGTCTTCAATTTTGTAATATTTAATTTGTTTTGAAATATATTTAATTTTCATTAAGCGGAGAACTTGTTTTCCTAAAGAAAAAACGAATCCCGGGATTCCTTTCCAGTGTGTGCCCCACTGCCGCTAGTGCCCACGAGCCGCCACTGGTATCTACAAGTTTGACGACTGTTTACAATGATAATTTTTTTGTAAATTTTTATAGCCTAAAGAATTTCCTCTAGATAATCTTTTTAAATTTACCCAGAGATACGGAACTAGTTTTTTAAGATGTTCAGGAAAAGTTCTAAAAAAAAAAGGAATCGTACAACGAAACCACTTAGCGATTACTGAAAATATTCCAAATTGCCGAAAATTTTTTAACAGGATAATATTTACTAGATACACTACACTGTCTATAAAAAATTTTCCTCAAAACTCATTTTCGTCCAATTTAATTTTATCTTTAAACTATATTGTTAACTGTTTAATGTCGTTAAAATGTATTTAATACCCATTTATATAAATTGCCTTTCGAAAAGTTTATTCATTTTGTTAAAAACGTGAAAGTAGGACGCTCCAGTCATTAGAAAGTTATAATTATTAACAAAAAAGCCGAATTCTTCAAAATTAAAAAATGTTGTGGAGTTTGTGTTTTATATTTTTACTATCTGGTGCTTCTTGTGCTTCTGTAAATGACTTTTTAAACGGAGATGTGATAAATAGGTGGTTATTCACTAGTTTGGGAGAAGAAAACAGTTTATGTAGGAACCATAGCCAATTTTATTTACAAGAATTGGACAAACTTAAGTTATGGGCTACTGAAAGTAAGTAATTTTATGGAATTTCTCTTATTTGTAACTTCAATTAAAATAGTATATAAACTATACTTTTTCTACAACCATTATTATGTTTTTATTTATTTGACACTTACTGTATAGAAATTTCATGAGAGAGTTCCTCAAAATAAATCACAATAACTTTTTTGTCCAACTGGCAAAAATATAAATGACATTTATTCGGAAAGGTGGTGTAGGTGTCTAAGGCGCTCGCATTCATTTAAGAGCAATTTTGTGATACAGATACCCGGCTGCGAATCCTACAGAAGACCATGAGAATTTATTTGCATGGTTCTCTATATAGTCTAAGATCCCGCTGCAAAATCACTACGTTCATTAAGTTTTGAGTGAAACACAAATTTTTACATGATTTTATGAATAGGAGAATACACTGACAACACCGCAGCCAGTCAAAAGTGGCCGCAAGTAATTTTAATTAAATTAATGTTAATTAATATTCCAAAAAAAATTTCGTTTACTTCTCTTTAAAATAAAATATCATCCACATCATAACAATGCATGTAAAGAATTCTAAAATCCTTAAGTGCCGTTCCATACTCGGCCGCAACTACCTCGCAGCCAGGTGTAAGCAGGTAATATTTTGATCTATCTATACGTTCGTGACTTACACGGATGTTTTTTATATCAAATTAAAGCTAATTTTTTTCTAACATGATGATATATTGCTGCCTATGAAAAAATAGCCGCAAATTAGGAGTGCCATCAGTTAAAAATGCGAGATATCTGAGATAAAATGAGAGAGAGTTAGCACGCAACGCCACTTGTTAGATGAGGATGGTGAATGCCAACTGTGTGAGTATTTGAAGCTATTGCGCATGCGTCGACAATAGCAATAGCTTCAAATACTCACACAGTTGGCATTCACTATCCTCATCTAACAAGTGGCGTTGCGCACTAACTCTCTCTCATTTGATCTCAGATATCTCGCGTTTTTAACTGATGGCACTCCTAATTTGCGGCTATTTTTTCATAGGCAGCAATATATCATCATGTTAGAAAAAAAATTAGCTTTAATTTGATATAAAAAACATCCGTGTAAGTCACAAACGTATAGATAGATCAAAAAATTACCTGCTTACACCTGGCTGCGAGGTTGTTACGGCCGAGTATAGAACGGCACTTAAGGATTTTAGAATTCTTTACATGCATTGTTATGATGTGGATGATATTTTATTTTAAAGAGAAGTAAACGAAATTTTTTTTGGAATATTAATTAATATTAATTTAATTAAAATTACTTGCGGCCACTTTTGACTGGCTGCGGTGTTATCAGTGTATTCTCCTATTCATAAAATCATGTAAAAATTTGTGTTTCACTCAAAACTTAATGAACGTAGTGATTTTGCAGCGGGATCTCGTACTAATAGGATTTGATGGATGCCGTATTAGCATAAATTTAATTTATGTTGATATGATATCCATATTATAAAACTCGCCTTTCGTTACCGTTTCGATGATGGTGGGTGGAGTTTTCCGGCCTTTCCTCAACTGTAAGTCAAATGGCACCATCAATCATCTTTAAGTCGCTCCGGAGCGCCACGGAAAATAATAATAGTAGCCGTTCCTTCACCTACACAAGTCGCTCAGTCGGCTTCAGAGGTTGAAATTCATTCATAAGGGAGTGAATTAGGGAGAGTATTATTATATAATTTAAAAAGTTTAAGAAAATTTAAGTTCAGTTATTTTAATCATCTAGTACATGTAATAGTATGGTTCGTAATATGAGAAAATAGTTAAAGATATGTATCTCCAGATTGCTGCCCTTTTTAATTAAATCGAAATTTGGATCAGTTGGAGAATGTAAATAAACTTAGGAAACTTTATTAGCAAGTTTTAGTTAGATCAATTGCTGATAAAATAATTCTGTTTCATGGCTACATTGACTGCGTCTAGATCTTTCTCTTAAGTACGGCTTATTGTAAAGCCTACTGAATCACTAGCCAGACAACACACCAAATCCCAGAGATATCCATAGAATATCTTTTGTGGATATCCAATATATCCACAGGATATCAGAAATATTCCATGGATCTAATATGGATATCCAAATGTCCGTCTATATCCAGAATATAGAAGATATTCCATGGATTATCCAGCAAAATATCTAATGGGTATCTTACAGACAATACAAGAAATCCCCGAGATATCCACAGAATATATTTTGTGGATATCCAATATGGATATCCAACCAAATGTCCGTCTATATCCCAGGATATAGAAGAATTCGGATATTCAGCAATATATTTTATTGGTATCTTTATTAGAGGTTCATAAAAGTAACCAATGATTATTGAATAATGTCGAAAGAAAATAGAGATAAAAAATATTTTCAACACTCTGCCTTTGATTTTGCCCACTAAGGAGAAAGTCATCCTTATTAGGACTCTTCAGCAATAAATGGAAACTCTCGACTCCAGACTCTAGTCTGATCGGGAAACAAATTTCGATCGAACTCAATTACGGCGGGTTGAGCATGAGTAGATGCGAAAGTGGTATCGCCATCTATACTTAGTAAGCAAAATCAAAAATTACATCTAGTGGATATCCACGATGGTTTGCGTTCGCGCCTAGACTTTGATTATTTAGTGGATGTCCATGGGATATTAAATACACCTTAAAAAAATTAATTTTAAATATCTGAACGGTACTATTAGCCACAATGGTGAGCACAATGGCGTAATTTTTTAATAATTTGCTATATAATTACTATTATTTATGGACATTTGCATGTCTATAAATTACATCTCATGGATATAAAATAGATATCCACCATGAACTGGACATTCAGTGGATATTGGGATGTTCAGTAGATATCCAAAGGATTTGGTGTGCTGTCTGGGTAGCCTACCTTGAAAATGAGACGTACCTATTGCAAAGACTTATTTGCCATACCAAAAAAAAATTGGGCTTACAAAAGAAATAAGGGCCCCACCTCCGTTGAAGATCAAAGAATGAAAACTCAATAAATTGTACATGGAATAATCTTAATCTAAAAAAAATATAACTTTAAAGGAGACACTTCGGATTTTTCTGACATTGCACATAAAGAAGCTTTGTAAATAAGGAAAAGACAAAAGTTTTTTAACAGTGCAGCACACAGTGGCCGAAAATCGAGTAAAGAGTGGCCAACAGTCAAGTTATAGGTTAAAAGACTTCAAATATGGTATACGAGGGTTTTTTAGGACGCTTATTACAATACTTTTATTATTTAGAATACAAAATTGCGGATCACAAAATATGGTGGACAGCTCCTGAAAAAAACTCGCTTAATTTTAACGTAAATCATTAGAGGGGTTTTGTGGGTCGCTGATTTCACAATTTCAGTTACTTTGGTGAGATACAAAATCGCGGATCCAATATGGCGAACAACTTCTGAAAAAAATCGCTTATAATCCAGTAACTGAAGACCTGAAAATATGCAAAGCTGTCATTAAGTCGGTCCAGATTTCCTTTATAGCTCAATTCTTAGGTCTTGACGGTTGCTTTCAAGAGCAAAAAATTTTACCAACACTGCTGGGTCGGAAAGGGCTCAAAATGGCCCCTAAAGTCCGAAAAAAATGGTATCCCGCTAATATCTGCCAGCTCTAAACATAGTGAACAACTGGTGCAAAAAGGAACAATTGTCCATCAACGCACAAAAAACAACAGTTGTTCAATTCGCGCAGTGGCGTGGGTAACCAAAACTGCGCAGGCAAGTGCAATAGGCCAACTCACTAGCATTCAGCGGCTTGCCTGTCTAAGTGCTACTGGGGCCAGGCGCACTACGCCGACCGCAGCAATGGAGGTATTATTAAATCTCACGTCATTGCACATCTTCTTACAAGGTGAAACCAGGTTAGCTATTCACAGGCTAATGCAGGGACAAAACCCAATAAGCCAACTACATAGCGCCGACCACACAAGGCTATATCAGCAAGTAAAAAGTGATAATATTCTAGCTATGCCTACTGATAGAGCCATAACCACATACAAATTTGAAAGAAATTTTCAAATTCAAATACCAGCCCGAGAATCCTGGAAACAGGGACCTCCCGTACAGGCTGAACTCGTCTGGTACACAGACGGTTCAAAAACCAAGGAAAGAGCCGGTGCTGGAATCTATGGACCTAAGTCGAAATCAACGATTTCACTAAGCTTAGGAAAATATGCAACAGTGTTCCAGGCTGAGCTAATAGCCATACAACACTGTGCAAGAGAATTATTAAATCAGCAAGTATCAGGCAAAACTATTGCCATATACTCTGATAGCCAAGCAGCTCTAAAGGCAATTCTCTCACCAGAAATCAAATCACGACTGGTGAAATACTGTCTAGAAGACCTGACAGAGCTAAGTAGTCAAAATAAGGTGACCTTAGCCTGGGTTCCAGGCCATGAGGGATATCAGGGCAACGAAAAGGCCAACGAATTAGCCCGAGAAGGCTCGGATAAGGCCATGACAGGCCCCGAATCCTTCTGTGGAGTTGCTAAGGCATTGTGCAAGGCATCCATTAAACAATGGATGCAAAAAGAGTCTCAGGAATGGTGGAACAACTATCCAAGACTGAGACAGGCCAAACAGTTCATCAAGGAACCATCGGCCAAGTTTACGAAAGACCTACTGGATCAAAAACGTCAAATCGTTAGGATAACAGTAGGCCTTCTTACTGGACACTGTCGCCTCAAAAGGCACATGAGTGTCATAAATCCAGCAGAAGAAGCAACTTTGTGCAGGTTCTGTGAAGAAGAAGAGGAAACATCATTCCACGTCCTGTGCCAATGTGAAGGCTTAACTGGAATGAGGTTTCTAACATTGGGCGAAGAAAAGCCAATTGCATGCAACTACATGCGGGAGCCACTGTCAAAGCTACTAAGTCTAATAAAAAAGACCAGGCTAAACGACATACTCTAAAACATACGGAGTCCCATAATAGATCTGAAAAGGTCGCGTTGGACAAGGACAAATAACGTCTAACTCCTAATCTAATCTA